GTCAAAAGTCACTGTACCAAAATAAGAATAAAATAAAATTAACAAAAATGTTCCAGAACTGCCGTAACAAATTATTATTGTAACAACTGTTATTAACTATGAATTTTGACAACTATTATTTCTAACAGGAATAATAATAATAAAAGTAAAAGCCAGTCTTTAATCTTTTCTCTTCCTTCTTTTCGTCTGGGTTTGCCTTCTCGTCTCTAAGAGATGTGCGGGCTTGATTCCTTCACCAGGACACCGCATCCACCTGTTCATGGAGCCTCCCTGTCACAATGTAACAGCGCATACTTGGAGGAGAGAGCTGTCGTCCCCGATCAGCTTCATATGGAGGCACAGGTGAGTGCAAGCATCTGTCCTGTTGGTTTTTACTGTGGGATGATGTTATCAAAACAAGTCCAAATTACTCAAACGCCAACCATGACTGAGTCTGAGTGCGGACCTCTGTTGCATCTCGCCTGTTATCTCTCTACAAATGTCTCTAATAAAGTGTAAAAATCCCCCAATACTTTTAAAAAAATACCAAAACATGTCCTATGTCTCTGTCTTTACCAGTGGTGGAAGAAGTATTGAGATTCTACACCTTATTAAAAGTGTTATATGGTGTAAAATTACACGTTATGAGGAATAGTCTGTTTAAGTATTATATAATTTATACATACTAATTTATTTGATTATTAATGCTGATGCATTTACATGTATGATAATGTAGCTGGCCAAGACACTGCCTCTCTTAAGTATTTCATTATACCTTTATATTATGTGCATAATTTTTATACCTGAGTGAAGTGAAGTAGACATCTAAAGTAGCATTAGATTTATAGAAATATTTAAATGAAGTGTAAGTACTTTGAATTTGTTATGATGTACAAAACTTAAATGTACGGCGTTCTTGAGTAGCATTTAAAAGTCTGATCAAACGGTGACTGGAAAGTCAACCTTGGCGGTCAGTGTAAATGTCATCCTTTTCAAGTGCTCTAAATACATCATTACATTCTCAGTGATGATTTGCTGCACACTTTCAGCAGCACGCTTGCATTAGCTGTAACCAGGGTCAGAGGGTTCACTGTAGCGAGAGCAAACACAGACACCTTGCCTGATCCTCATTCACACTTAACTGAATCAATAACCACAGAATGGGCTGTGGATGTTTGAACTGCATTTCAGTGAGGTGATCACAGAGGTAAAAATTATTCTTGACATACCGCTTTCTCTCACCTATTTAATGTCACATATATTTTAGAGACAATATTTTCAAGATTTTGCATGCACATGCAGGACTTATTTCCATGGTGGATATGATAGTGTGTGTGTGTGTGTGTGTGTGTGTGTGTGTGTAGTGGTTGGGGACTCATATCCACCTGTGCAGTGAAGAACATCACTTTTAATCAGCGACAGTTTTATTTTTCAAATGTTGGTTTTACTGCGAGATTGCCAAATGTTAACACACAACCATGATTCAGCCGACACAGTTCATTTTTATGCTGTTCTGAACCACTGACACACACACACACACACACACACACACACACTCTGAGTGCACACACTTCATGAACATCTCTAGCAGCATCAAAAGTTGCTGTTTGGAATATATTGAAGAAGATTCAGCAGCGATATGTAGGTACAACAGCTCAACAGACAAACAGTTTGGTGGGTCCAAAACTCAAACTTAAATCAAAGAAAACAGGGCAAAGATATGAAAGAGAACATCACTTGTTCATTTGCTGTCAGAGTTAATGTAAATTTTAATTCTAAGTAAGCACATATGCTAACATTTTGTTATTAAATATTTTCTCAAGGTATCAGTGATGCACGGCATGTTACATATTATATTTTATGTCATGTTATGCAAAACAAAAATTATTACATTATGTGAAAAAATGCATCTTGGGATGCACTGGGTCATTTTTTTAACAGTTATTTAAAGACACTGTATGTAAGAATGTGGCCAAAATGGTTACTGCACTCAAATTCAAAAAACTGCCACGAGTCGTGTCCGCCCCCCCCTCCCCTACAGATTCGAGGTTGCTGGACAGCGGCACGTTGGAGACTGATTTGTTTGCCCACGGGCAGCTGCCGTGGCAGGGCCGCGTCGCCACATCCTTGATCTTCGGTTTTCCAGCGGACCATTCGAGCAAGTCCGGCTTCTCTGCTGCTAACGGTGCTGCCGGGATACAGCTGAGGAGACTGCTAATGCTATGTACTGGGACACGGCTAATGCTGCTTACCGTGCTGCTGTAGCTCAGTCGTAACTGTAACTGATGCTGAGACTCTACTGACTGCGTGACTGGTAGACGGCGGTGGGTGGCGCAACAGGCCTAAACACAAATTCAAAACATAAACATGATTTGCGGACCGTATATTCTGAATATTCTGGCTGTACTGTTGTTGTCGGTGAGATCAGTATGTTATATGAACATTATTCCTTAGTCTCTGTGACATATTAGGAGGATTTTACAACTATTTGCTTTAGATTTCTTACATATAGCTCCTTTAACAAACATAGTGATGTTTACTTCAGCTGTGTCCCACCAAAATAGATAGTGTGTATCCTTGAGGCTTAATAAACCTTTGAATGCATTTCCTTCTCCATAAAACACATGTTGAGCCTTTTTTGTTTACAGCTAGCAGCCATCCTCCCTGCCTTTGTTGGTGCGTTGTTTAATTTCTTTGCACATTGCTGCCACCAACTGTCAATCCATGAAACAGTCTGAAACCATCAGCAGGACTGTGAATCTTGTAACCCTCATGTGCACGATACTAACAAAACAGGGACAGCACTAGTAGTGGTCAAAAGCTTGACACGGTACCTTTAAATGAAAATGAAAAGCTAATAGAATCAATGTGACAGCCTATTAATATATAAATCGTCAAATATATATTTTACTTGTTCCTCACACAAGTCAAATACTGCACCTAACACTAGAGCTGGTAGTGTCCTCAGCATTAACATTACTTTATTTTTAAATGCCACAGTACAATGCTTCACCTTTGATAGATGTAACGTAGTACAGTAATGTAACACTACGCCGGACAATGACGGTGTAAAAATCCTAAATTTCGGTTCACTGCTTACTATAGAGCAAGGGTTTGCAGCTATTTGTAACCTAAGGCCAACTTCTGATTGTTAAAATACTTCCAAAGATCACTGTCCCCAAATTAATCATTAAAAAAAGGAGAAAAAATAAACTGGACTGTAAATATGTGTTATGCCACTGTCAGCTGCTAATGCTGCGATGACTCTGTTGTGCCTGAAGCCTGTCCTTTTTCCCCAGCACATCCAGACTCTTAATCCATTCTCATCATACTTGATCTAAGTGTGGCCTTTGACACCATTTCTCACAATATCCTTCTTAAAAGACTGGCCTCTATTTGAATCACTGACACACCCCTTGACTGGTTTAAATCCTATCTCTCTGAGCATACTCAATGTATCCTGCTCAAAACAGTCAAACCCCAGCCATTTCCAGTTGCTGGTGTTCCTCAAGGTTCTGTCTTGGGTCCTCTTCTGTTTATCATCTACTTACTTCCTCTCGGTTACATCTTCCGTAAATTTAACATCCACTTCCATTGCTATGCAGATGACACCCAGCTCTATCTGTCCACCATACCTACCTCCACCCTTCTGCCCTCCTCCCTCTCTGACTACCTTCAGGAAATCAAATCCTGGTTCTCCTGCAACTTCCTCAAATTTAACAGTGATAAAACTGAGTTGCTTCTCCCACTTGGTATTGATAACTCCTCAGTTTCCCCCTCTCCGCTGGTTAAGAGTGTGAGTGTCATCTTCGACAGCGCTCTATCATTCCAAGCTCACATCAGTAATGTCACTCGGTCTGCTTACCTCCATCTATACAACATTTACTGCCTTCACCCATCCCTCAGACTGCACAGTACTGCCATTCTTGTTCACACACTGATTACATCCCATATAGATTACTGTAACTTACTCCTTTTTGGTCTCCCTCTCAAGTTCATCCATAAATTTCTGCTGCTCACATCATCACCAGAAACCCCTCCATCAATCACATGGCTTCACTGGCTGCCAGTTAACCCAATCTACAACCAAGCTCCTCTGTAACTCTCCCAGCTCTTGCACATCCACACCCCCACCCACACTCCCAGGTCATCTGCTTCCATCCACCTCACTGTCCCGCCAGCGCGCCTGACCACCATGGGGCCTAGAGACTTCAGCCGCTCCACCCCCCGCCTCTGGAACTCCTTCCCATTGGACATTCATAGCATCAACTCTCTCTCCACTTTCTCTCTCCACACCTTGAGTGTTGTGAAAGGCCCCTATAAATGAAATATATTATTATTATTATTCCGACTGCTTTGTGTTTGAGTGTCTCTGGAGTTGCGATGGTTTTAGCGTCTCATTTGACATGATTTCACCACATTCAACACACTGTGCTTTCAGCTTAGCATCACTGCCTGCCAGTGTAAATCCAAATCCAAAGGGTTGTATTTCCTCACCACACGCTTTGGAGTTTTTCAGCATCACTTTTCTGTTTCAAAAAACAATCCATTTTGTGTCACTGCATCCAAGGGAACGTTAGCTAGCTGACAGTTGCAAGGCACCTGAATGTAACTGGTCTTTCAAATTATGCATTTCAATTTGACGTGTTTTGTTTAAGTGAAGTCTTGAGCCTATTAAGATATAAAAATGCTAGCTTTGTAAATTACCAAATATTGGCAGTGCTTCCATTACCCACTGAGGCCATCAGGATTACAGCAGTGCCACAACCCTCCCTCTCTAACTTAAAAAAAAAGTTTATAGAAGAGAATTAGAATTGGGGGTGACATTGCAGTTTACAATTCATCTGACTCAGCCAGCTCCTTTGATGCTTGAGTTTAGGTGGGGATTGTATTATGATTTTTCCCGTGGCACTGTCTCTAGTGACTGTGACTTGTTTCAGGGAGTAGATATCGTCTGTTGTCATGCTCACTTATTTGTGTCTTTGATTTGACCCCCCTCTCTTCTTTCCCCATACAGAATCAGATGCAGCATGACAGAATCAACCACACCTCCTCAGGCTTTAACAGTGAGTTCTGCTTCACACATAATCTCACACTGTGTGTGCACTGGTGTATGCTTGTGTTTGGTGGGTAGCGGTGATGACAGGTAATCAGACTTTCCTTAATTTCTTCCCATCGTAGGCTTGGAGTCTAAGACAGAGGTCGGCGTGTCGTCCTGCCTGCTCACACCCACCGCCTCCCCGAGAGACTCCGGCATGTCTGAGGACAGAGGGATAAACGGAGGAGTTAACAGTGGAGGGTGAGTACAGCAGAAATACTGGAGACACTTAAGACACCAAACACTGATTCACTGGGCTGGTCGTGTCTGCTCCCCTCTTGCTTGATTTTCTGAATCTGTTACAAAGTCCATTTTAGTTTTCTCCAAATGATGCGGTCCAAAATAACTCTTTCCCTAACTTTTTAAACCAGCAGGAACAAGTTGTGAACACAACCCTGACATGTCACCACCTTTTAAGTTGATTTGGAGGATAACAGTTGCTTATTTACACATCCAGCCTTCACAGAGCAGCATAATCATTTATTTTGGAGTCGTGTTTCTATCCACCTCAGGAATGCAAGTCTAATTTTTATTCTCTTGTATCTCTGTTTTTAGTCTCCACCAACTCCCGAGGCAATATATTTGTCTCTTTAGCTTCTAAATGCAGTGTATGATTGTAGATAGCACGCTGGCACCCTGGTAGCAAAAGAGGCGTGACAGGTGTTATTTGTAACACAAGTGTCTGCCTCTTATGTGACATACATATCAGCAGCACTTTATAAACAATAACAACCAAGCATCAACATACCAAAAACAATCATTTACCGTCCCTGTTACACGGCGACTGATCTCGCCCTCAGCTCGGAGAGTAAGGAGCTTCCAGACCTCATTGTGTACCCAATTTAGGACATTTTCCGCTGCTGTTGTTCTTCTTTGAGTTAGCTGCTAACTGCTTCTAGCTGCTTTTTAAATCTCCTGGCGCTGGGTTGCACACATAATACGTCATCCATGCTCTCATCCTGCCAGCGGTCCCTTTTACACACATGTTGATTTGGCACTGTTATTGTCTCAACTGCCGACTTAAAGGCAACACAACTCTGTCCCCTCATTCTGCAATTGGTCCTTTAATAAAGAAAAGCGAGGCGGAATAACAGCATGAAATTCACGCCATGTACAGGCACAAAAACTATAAAAACAATGATTAAACAAGAAAAAAAGATTAAACTAAATGAATGATTAATTTTTTTCTTTAGTAATTTTGTCATATATAAATATGCAATGACAATCACTGGGTTAAATGTACTGTATGTTGATGCTGTCTGATGTAGAGTCTGTATGTGAAGAGAAGAGAAGATATACGGTAATTAGTTTGGGCGCATAAACTGTCAAGACTGACAAGCTGAGCTGTGTGTGTGTGTGTGTGTGTGTGTGTGTGTGTGTGTGTGTGTGTGTGTGTGTGCTCCACTTTGTGGTAGCCACTAAGTCTGTCTGTTCTCTGTTTGGTGTTAGCAGGTTACGTACAGTGGGTTTTTTGACACCATAAGAGTGGTGAGATTGAACCAGAACAGTAAAGTTGCAGCCGTAGCTCTGTAAAGCTAAGGGAAGCTGCAGATTCACCTAATAACTCTGTAGATTCATCGGTATGAGTGACCCCTTGCACAATGTTGGACTTATAGGTTGTTATTATGAAACTATTGATTAAAGCCGCTTTAAGATAAGATAAGATAAGATAAGATAAGATAAGATAGTACTTTATTGATCCCAAACTGGGAAATTCTTAAGATAAAAAAAATAAAGTGAAACAAAGTCTGGCCATTTAGTATTAATCATAACGCAATATCTGATTCTCCTGTTTACACTGACAATGACAAAGTGCAGTCTCATGGTTCAAGGTTCAATTTATTCATCAGTAAAAACACTGAAATCATCGTGCTTCCATTCCTATAAACACCCACCTTAATTAAAGTGTCAGCGCTGACATAACTTTATACGTTTACAGTTTAACATCTCCTGCGGGTTTTGTAATGGGCCAACTGCCCTCCTTGTCATCTCTCTAGGTTTGTGAAGTCCGAGGGGGCCAGTGGGAGCCCGGTGGACTGGACAGTGTCTGATGTGGTCAGTTATTTCACAGCAGCAGGTTTCCCTGAGCAGGCTGCTGCCTTCAGGACCCAGGTGAGCCTGCAATCCCCCGTAACAACCACTAGAGGCCACCAGAGACAGGCTTTGTCTCTGTACTTGAACCTTAAAACAGTTGTAACCTACACCCACCTACCCACATTGCTTTGTTCTCTCTGTTAGGAAATCGATGGCAAGTCTCTTCTCCTCATGCAGCGTAACGATGTTTTGACTGGCCTGTCAATCAGACTGGGCCCTGCCCTCAAGATCTATGAGCGTCACGTAAAGGTTCTGCAGAAAACGCACTTTGAGGATGACGACTGTTAACGACAGAGACTGTTACGTCTGTATCTACATATAGCTCAAGTAATCCTATAGATATGTATGCATGACATGATATACAACACACTTTGCTTTTCATCTCATGTCAAATAGCACACACACACACACACACACACACACACACACACACACACACACACACCTCTATTTCTCTTTCTCTACAACTGCTCTGGTCCAGAAACAACACAGCAAAGAGACTGGATTTCCTGGACAACAAGGGTTTTCTACCAAACTGAGCACAAATGTCGGAGGAAGTACATCATGAAACTGTCAGATACGGAGGTTAAAAATAATCATGCAATTCCTCTTTTTTATTTACAACGATAAAGCACTTTGCAATTTCTCGACTAAACTGTGCAAAATGGTTTGTTTTTAAACTGTTATTTGTGCTGACCTTTATGCACATTTCGAAAGGGGTCGTGGTTTTCCTGTGGTTTTCCTTTTGTTTTTGGAGGCTTTGACTGATGCGAGGGTTTCTCCCTTGTGGATGTATGTGTGTGGCCGCATGACAGAGCACATTGGATCAGAAACAGATTAATAGTTGACCAGATTAGATACATTCCCAGGAGCTGGAGCAGATGGTTGTGACGCTGACCGGTCACAGTCGTAGATGTGTCACAACCTTGTGTTAACGGTTGTTGGCCAAAGCAATAAGCTGATAATTCCTTCTAGATGTTTTGCATCTTGTCAGCTCGCAGATCAGCAGGTGGATGATTTTGTGTGTCTTATTGTTTCAGATGAGAATCAATGAAGTTTTCATAATGTTTTTAAGCAGCGCTGGTGATCTGTTCTGGCTTATTCACCACCACAACAGGGGCTGGTTTCACCAAGACAGACTTCGACTGTGGCTTAGGGTGTTTTCATATTAGATATGATTGATTTGCCTGAGTATGACTGCGTCCCCACCCAACTTCCCTGCTGCTCAGCTTTCACATTAGTAACAATCAACTCTCAACTAGATGTAACAGAATGTAAATATATTAAAGGTTAGCCGATGTAATGCATCAGCCTCCATTTGTAAATTACTAAAAAAAAACAATCTTCTAACTGAAAGATGTTATGGCAGGGTAAAGCTAAGTCAATCAATCAACTAATCTCATACCACCAGCATTTTTGAACTGTTTTTACCGGTCAAACCTTAGAAACCAAATGCTGTCAAACGATCACACATCTCATTCCCACCTTCACTGTACCGACACATTCCAGGTTTGGCATCTCGTCTCTGCATGCTTTATAATATTAGTGCTTTTTTCCTCATATTTGAATGTTTATATTTCTGTTTTCAGCACGTTGGTTTCATTTTGTGAATGTTTCCAGTCCACTCTTCACACACTGAACGTTTCTTTGTGCATTCAAAGCTCCTCTACCTCTCTCCCCTCGCTTCCCCCTTCACTGTCACTTTCTTTGCAACTTTACGTTGTTTATTGCCACTGTTGTCATTCAGATCATTTCATTCTTATGAGTTTAATCTGTAGGAGAGGACAGCTGTGTTTGGGTCCAGATTCACACAAGGGGAATGTACAGTGTGCCTGTGCCCTTGTTGCTTGTCATTTGTTAAAGGACAATTTTAATAATAAAAGTTGGAGATTAAAACACCACAGTGTGTCCGTTCTGAGTGTGTGCGAAGGCGTGTTGCATGCATGTTTGTGTGTCTGTGGAAATATGCATATGTGGCGCGTGTGTGAGGGAGGGAATCCAACAACACAGCAGCTGGGTTACAGCAGCAGCTCCCTTCACTCACAACAACATGGAGTGGAAAAAGGAAAGACCATGCTGCGTTTTAGAGAAGAAAAATCGTATCCAGGCAAGACAGACTATAAGGCTGTTCTTTTGGAAAATAGGCTCTGTACAGCATTTATTTTGACCCATAAATATTTCAGAGTAAGACGGGAAGTGTTCTCCATGACCAGCTAGGGACTTGTGCCTGCATCTGCTGGTGAGAGGCAAAGGGGAGGAGGAAATATCATGCTATATCTGTCCTGGGACACTCTCCAGGGTAAGTGCTTGGGATCTGTGTGCGAGTGTGTGAAAGTTTGTGTGTGTGTGTGTGTGTGTGTGTGTGTTCACGATGAGGTTACAAATAAGCGGATGGGCATATTCATACCTCCACTGATAAACAGACAGGCTGCAGCTCCCACAAACATGGTGGTTCAAGGCAACAGAGGAAAAAGAAAAGACTGAGACTCTCTGCTGGAAACTTCTGGGCTCCAGGAAGACCAAAACCACACCAGGGCGGTTCAGATCAGTCAGAACCTGAAACCTTTGGCACTGATCGCCGCAGAAATCCGACCATACAAGTTCAGCTCTTGAATATACCTCAGTAAACAACTGCAGGCGACAGAGAGGGAGCAGATCTTAGTGTGGAACTTTGAGGATATCAGACGAGACAAAGGAGAGCAGTCATGCCAGGCTCAGGAGGAGCAGAGTGAGTGGAACAGCTGCATGTGTACAGTGTACGTGTGCTTATTCATGCATATCTAAACATACTGCACGGTATTTTACAGATATGGAGTACTGACATATTTAATCCAGTAAACATGTTTGTGTCATAAAACCAGTCAAACGTCTCAAGTGTGCCATTGCATGTGCTGTTGATCAAGTTTTAAAGATAGGCTCAATGATATTTTTTACATGAGACTCAAAACTACTGATAAATGAATGTGATGTTTTCACAAATTCACACTCATGTAGTTGCTACGTGCAGAGCCAAAGAGAGTCTAAATACAGCTCTGTGTCACATGGGGAAACTAGAGCTACAAGTGTAGAGCCTGCATGTGAGAGTCATGATGTGTCTCTTGTTTGGAAGCCCAAAGGGAGAAGATCTCTCCACTGCCATCCTGAAGCAGAAACACAGACCTAACAGACTCATTGTGGATGAAGCTCTCAATGAAGACAGCAGCATTGTCAGCCTGACACAGGTCTGTGTGTGTGTGTCTGACTAAATCCTCACCATGTTGCGTTCCTCTGAGATTTGTGTGTGTTTGCACTAGGATAAGACAGAGGAGCTGCAGCTCTTCCGGGGGGACACGGTGGTGTTGAGAGGACGGAAGCGTCGCCAAACAGTGTGCATCGTCCTGACTGATGACACCTGTGGGAATGAAAGAATCCGCATGAATCGTGTGACGCGCAACAACCTGCGTGTCCGGCTCGGTGATGTCGTCAGGTAGATCTTACATACTGTGTCCTTGTGTTTGGTATGGAGTTGCATTTGAGGTTCGAAATGAAACAACCAAGATGTCGACATGTGTTTTATCACAGTATTTTTGCCTGCCCTGATATCAAGTATGGGAAAAAGATCCATGTCCTCCCCATCGATGACACCATTGAGGGCCTGACAGGAAACCTCTTTGAGGTTTTCCTCAAACCATATTTTCTGGAGGCTTACCGACCCATACATAAAGGTACTGCAACACCTCTGCTGCTGAACATACCATGGGCAAAGATACTGGGGGGGATGCAAGGGAAACGTCCCCCACAATATTTAGAGCACATCCATTTGCCCCCCTCCCCCCACACTAAGTACACGAGTAGCAGAGGACTTTTATTTCGACAAAATGCTTGAATGCGACTCTTTAAGCCCGTTTCACACATGCACTGCAAACCTGGATTTATTTAGGCATTACCAGGAGCTGCATGTGAGAATGCAAATATCAGATCAGTTGGTTTTGACATTGATGGACTTTATCCCACCAACTTCTTAAAGTCTGTGTCATGTCCGATTGAACTCATGTATGAATGGAGTTCCCTTTATACTTCCATGAATAGAGTAGGTAATTGTCTGATAATTCACAGCAAGTGAGTGGGCATGTTGATGACATTTCTATCAGGATGCTTGTGTGACAAAGAAGGGTCACTTACACATAGATGACAACTAAAATGTCTCACTGGAGAGATGACAAGATTCAGGAGCATCTGTCGGTACAGGCTGAAGCTGAAATCAACAGAAAAATTCAAGGAACGTCATCGACCAAATTACAACTTGGCTATGTGATCGTGGCATTTCCTGCCTCCTGCATGCTGTACCTAGGTGCCACCCCTTGCCTAAACCAAATAAAGTATAGTGAGAATACTTCTGAAATGGACAGTCTCCTGTTGTGTGCTACATGTGTGAAAGGGAATCTCTGAACAATGTCCGGACCAGATTCTCCAGACATTGTTCGCAGTTCATATGAAAAAACGGCTCTAGATGCAACAATGCCTCTGGTAAAGTTGGTTGTGGTATGCAACCTCAAAAGTAATGATTGCAATCTGCCATTGAATGGAAAGATGAATCAACAATTCATGGTTGAATCAGGAAGTACCGCAACACTTCTGCCATAAATTGATGCAGAAAAGGCACAAATCAGTGCATTCATTGGTGAAAATTCACTAAAATGCTGAAAATGAAGTGTTTAACATCCAAAATTTCTTGATGGAGGACCCCCAGCCTCCCTGTTTATTATGCCCCGCCCCCTAAAACCTACATCCTTAGATCAAACAGCTGCTCATAACATGATCCTGTAAAAATAATTCCCTAAGATGTCACTACCAGATGTGACAACCTATTTTTCTCAACTAATCAGCTTGCTTAGATCATCTCGTCACCTCCGCATAAGGCACATTAGGATGCTCCTGTGTGTGTGGTGACTTTATCTGTATTGCCAGGTGACATCTTCTTGGTGAGGGGAAGCATGCGCGCTGTGGAGTTCAAGGTGGTGGAGACTGACCCCAGCCCTCACTGCATTGTCGCCCCAGACACTGTCATCTACTGCGAGGGAGAGCCAATCAAAAGAGAGGTCAGTGAGAGATTCAGCTTAATACACACTTTTGTAATATATGCAGTATGCACTCATCTGTTTTGATAGTTAGTGTGGAAGAAATGCGCTGTGCTGTTTGGGAATGATCCAAGGCATACACTGATGTATGACAGTCAGGCTGCAACTTTGGAACACACCCACCAGTTTCAAATGCAAAAATGTATTTGTTAGTTTATTGTTCATTTTCTAACCTCTAGTTAATAAAGGAATACTTCACCCACAAAATTACAATTTGTATATGAATTACTTACCCAGTGTAATCGTGAAGAAAAGTTTGTTTTTCTGGCATCTCTGCTCGATGAATGAATAATCCAAAGACAGAGAAAACACTTGATCTATTGAAGTAAAACTGGGGGCACATATAACAACATCAAAACTATATCACTATCACTACTATTTTAAACGCTTTTGCATATGAGTAATATGCAAGGGCAAGTATGTGTATTGGAACTTTTTAGCAGAGTGCAAACAAACAACCTGGTCACACTCCAAAGTCGTCAAAATCTGGTGCTTGGGCAGTGTCTTGTGGCGTCAGACAGTATTGAAAAAAGCCATCCTTTAACGTCAGCATGATATGCGGCCGGTTGGCAGCGTCAGGGGGAAATGCAGTGGGACAAGAACAAAAGTTAAGGCAGTAAAAGTCCAAATAGGGTGGGTCGGAGGGGGGCGGGTAGGTGCAACAAAAACGACTTTCACCCAGGAGAGCGGTGTTTGTGTCCCATAAGATTCTAAAGCCAAACCCTGTTCTTTTTTTCCTAAACCCAACCACATGCGTTAGTTGTTGGAGGAAAAAAAAAACTCAATTTGCATTGCTGTACCAATGTAGTGCGTTTATTTTGAAAGAGACTGTATGTAAACGGTAAATTTCCTGTAAAAATGGAGGTGTATTTTGAAAGAATACATGCATGTAACAGGCAGAACTTGATTCGGCGTCCCAGAACGTTAACAACCAACACACCCAGGGTGCCTTGCACGTGTATTTGCACGTGGAAAGTCCATGACCAAACATTGATATGTGACGAGGTCAGCGTGAGAATGTGTTGAAAGAAAAGCGTTTGCCAAGGTTTTAGCGAAAATATATGCATTATATATGTGTACTATATGTGAAGTAGTGAAGTTCTTGATGAAATGGCTGTGTTTTAAACAGTACAGCAAGTGCTGAGCATACGACTGGATAAATGTGACTTGGATTATACTGCACGAGCCGTGTGAGATTTTGTAAATAGAAGTTTTGATAAAGTTTTGCTGCTGTTAAATATGGACCCCCTTTACTCCAATTCATCGAGAATTGTCTCCGATGTTGGATTCTTCATTCACAGTGAAGGCATGAGAGAAAAACAAAGTTTTCCTCACAAATTCAACGTAACACAAGGTGAGTCATTTATATACAAATGATCATTTTGAGGGTGAAGTATTCCTTTAAATCTGTTGCATAATCATCTAACATATCTTGTTACTTTTTTCCCAGCTAGCTGTCACTCCTCTCTTATCTACTGTACATTGCATTGCAGAAGAACTTCATGAACACCACATTAAAAGAATGTGTGAATTTCCATCTGTGTGTTGGCCTTTTGAAAAAATACTCAATCCATGCCATTTTTCTAGAGTGAAAGATCTACATATTTAAAACTAGGTTAGTATTCAGTGACTGTGACACAGGGTTGTGTACAGACTTGATGCCCTTGAGCAGTTGATGCAGATTTTTCAGCAGCACATTCATGCTGCAAACATGCCTGGTCAACCACATCCTGGAGCTCAGCTGGGTTGAGGCAGGGGCTGTGCAGGCCAATGATGTAAACTGC